GAGCTGCTGGCGTGGAACACAGGCGGCCCTCGTCGCTCTCGACGAGCACGCGCGGCCCGCGAAGATGGTGATCTGCCGGTACGACGGGTCCTCGAGGTCGTGGTCCGCCACCCACACCCAGCAGTTCTCCATCAGCAGGCCCGCCGCCGGCCGCGTGATGTGCATGCTGCCCCAGGCCGCGAAGCACGACGGCTCGATGGCCACCGTCCGGTTCGGGTACGTCGGGCACTGCTCGAGCAGGAGATCCGTGCCGGCGAAGCCGCCGACGCGGATGTGCACGTCCCACATGCCCGACGCCTCGCCGGCGACCGAGTGGAGGTTGTACTCGAGAATCTTGGCGCCGGGCGCCGGTCCGCGCGTCGACAGGATCATGTCCGACCACTCGATGCTGCCCTTGTCGCCGGCGTTGGCCACCTGTACGACGGGGTGCGGCTTGTTCATGTCGCTGTAGCGCGGGCCGCCGCCGAGGATCGTCGACGATAGCGCCTCGCCGACGATGCGGGCACCGGCGGGAATGAAGACCGTGTCGGTCACGTAGTAGGCGCCAGCGTCCACAAAGGCGACGAGACCGCTGGCTGCCGTGTGGGCAAAGAGCTTGTTGAGGGCGGCCGTATCGTCGGTGCTGCCGTCGCCCTTGGCGCCAAAGGTACGGGCCGATACGAACGCCGCAACAGGGTACTCGTCGTAGTGCGGCTTCGAGCGCTCATAGTACTTGCCCTCGCCGTCGAGGAGCACGGCGGGCGGCGCGGGGAAGTAGGCAGGCGAGTTGCCAGTGAAGACCTCGGGGCCGAAAGGGTCGTAGACGTGGCCCATGGCGAATCCGGCGTTCGTAACAGTTTGCGCCCCGTCGGTACCAGGGATGATGATACCCTGGGGTCCGGTGAGAATCTCGGCCACCGACTCGAAGAGGACGTTGTACATGACGAGCGTGCCAGCTGCGGAGCTACTCGTCGTGTTAGACGCGCGGGCCGTGGAGATGGCCGTCTCAACCTGGCGGAACTCGCTGTCGAGCAGTGTGATCGAGGCCGTCCCATTGTCGACCATGCGGATGCCGGTGCCGCAGTTGTCGATGTGGATGCTCTTGTAGGTCCAGCCCCAGTTCCAGAGCTGGTTGATGGCGACCTGGGCATTGGAGATTTTCCAGTTGCGCGCCGTGTACTGCTGGTTGCCGAGGTTGGCGGCGTACTGGCCGCCCTCGAATGTGAGGTCATTGAGCAGACCGCCGGATCCCTCCTCGATGAAGAGACCGACGTGCTTGCTCTGGGCGCCCTCGGCGAGCTTGAACACACAGTTCGTGATGGCAGTGGCCTGCGAAGACGGCCAGTGGATGCCAAAGGCGGCCTTTTCGGCGGGAATGGCCGTCGTGTCCAGAACGAGGTTCCGAATCTGGCGGAAGAAGGTGTTGGTGGCACCATAGGCTAGACCGTTGGCACCATATTGGTTTCCATCAATGAGACCGAGCGTCGACTCGGTGGGAAAGTTGGAGGCGGCCTTGATGACGGGCCGATCCGTCGGGTCGCCGATGAGCTGCGTGTAGTAGTAATCAATGATGGATCCATTGATGAGATAGGTGCTTTTCGTCTGTCAGTCTCCTAACCAGGCCATGTTTTGTCTCTCCTTTTTCCCTCCCCTTCGATGAAACTCACCCAGGTGGGAAGTAGACGGTGGCCGGCGACGTCGTCTCTTGCTTGCAGACGCCGGGAGCGCATCGCACACCGAAGCTAATGGCCTTGTTAATGGCAGCCGTGTCGTCCGTCACGCCATCGCCAACGGCACCAAAGTCCCGAATGTTGCGGAAGACCTGGTAGTCCGGGTCCTCGTGGTACGGAGAGAGGCCTTGGTGGGCAATCTCCTCCATCCAATAGCCCTGGACGGCGCTGGCAGCTGCCAGGAGAAAAGCCGCCGAGACACGCATCTTGAGCCTCGATCGCTCTGACTTTGGGATCTGGCGAATCTGGCGGGGGGGGGGTCGAAGAAGGGCCGACAGGGGTGACCGCGGTCTTCAGATGAGGGCGGCGGTAGAGGGGCCGAAAAAGAGTGTATGGGTGAGATGTCAATCTCGACCCTGTAGTTTGGGTTTGAAAGAGTGTAACGATCCCAACGAGGAACCTGACGTTGATGAAGCTATCTACTACCTACCTCTGTCATACAAGGAGAGCAACGCGAATTCCGTCCACAGCATGAGACAAGCAGCTGAAGGAGGAGGAAGCGAGAAGCACTGCCAAGGGACGGCTCTCGCAAGCGGGATCTGGTGGCTAGGGCTGGACTTATCTAGAGGAAAAAAGCAACGACATGTGCCGTGGTTCAGCTCCCGACAGCTGATCCAAACTCGTTGAACACGAGCTGCCGCACAAGGAATTTCCCCGCGATCATCGGCTGGTGAAGCCTCCATTAGGATTGACCGTGCCGGACGCGAGGCCGAGTGGTAGCATTGGCGACGGGTCGCCGGGGTAAGACCGTGAACTCTGAAAGGGGTAAAGTGACGATCTGTATTGGTCCCCTTGCAGAGAGAAGCATGGGGGTGCCACTGGGTCAGAATGCTAAGAGGTGGAAAGGCTGTGCTGATGCGTCGAATAGGGGAATGATCCGCTTCAATGAAATGAGCCTAATTGGTGGTGTGGTGCCTCGACACCTAGTTGCCAAGCACATGGAGGGCGGGGGAGAGAGGTCTAGATGGGATGAACAGGGCCGATTTGCAGCACTTTGCAAAGGGTCAGGGTCTTTGCCAAAGGTCATCATCGACTGACAACCGATCACAAGACGTTGTCAGAGGTGCGTAGCTGTTGGTGAGCTGATCGTTGGAAAAAAATACTTGTTCCCTGGTAACCCTGAGTTGATGGCAAGGCAAGGAAGCGAGTCAGCTGTGAAATGATTGACTGTATCTGTAACATGCGGGTAAACCTTAGCATAGGACCAGGGGTGAGCCTCAACTCCGTCCAAGCCGGCGGCTGTGGGTTCGCCAGGCCATGAAGCCTTGATATGTAGGTAGGTAGACATGCAGTCTGCATTCCACGCGTGTTGTGGTGTCTTGTCTCGTCGCGCTCTGTCTTTCATCAGAGGGTAAGATCGTCGCTGTCAGCGCGCTTCAGGGTCCCGACAACGTGGTTTCTCCGGTGCTTGTGGCACGTAAATCCACCTCGTCATTCGTCCTTGTGGCTGGCGGCCTGTCGGCCATGCATGGTAATACAGAAATGTAGAATTTTTGTTGGCCCCCCATGTTGAACGCGGGGTTGTGCGTTGGGTTTCTCCCCAGATGAATGAAGCCGCCATAGTGGCCCCTACCCCCCTAAACGCCGTCCATGCTTCCTCTATCGTACCAGTAATTGACTATCCGTCACCAA